CGCGCGGCAGCACCCGTGGCCAAGCCCGGTCATCCCGAGCAGTGCCCGACCGCCCAGCCCCGCCGAGCCGGCGGTCCGGCCAGTCCGCGAACCGTCCGGTTCGACCGGCGGTTCGAGCCTCGATTTTTAGTTCGTAAGTTCCGATCCAAGTTGTATTTCGGACTTTCAATATTTTTTCGAGCCAAATCAGTCAGTCCAAGAATATCAGTTAAATTTTCCGGACTTAGAATATTTTTAAGAAAAATCCCATAACAGTCTAAATTCGTCCGGGTCAAGCATCTAAGTCAAGCATATATGGCAATTATTTTGAGCATAATACTTAGCATATTTTTACTTATATGTTTATGTAGCCTAAGCAGAGTCGAGCCTCCGACCGCTACCTTACTACGAGCACTTGCGTCAGTCCATGTTTTCAGTTACTAGGTGGGGGTCATGTACTGGATTCTACATCGTCAATAATTTCTTTACCATGTCTACGGTATGTTCGAGGTATTTATGATCTCCCAGGTGAGGCCGACCTAAGGGCCATCTTATTCTACCTGGTATCCGATGAGAGCCGAGGTAAGGGCTATCAGTTTCATCGGATAGTGTGCACACGAGCGGCCGAAGCAAGGGCCGATATGGGTCTTTGAGACCACAGACATATGAATAAGTTTTACGTTATGCTCTTATATATTCTAGTCATGATATGTTATTATTGATGCTGTTTTATTCAGTACTGGTCTTTGCGGAGCATAGTGGTTTGCTCACGCCCCCATTACATTTTTCAGGTGATGGAGTCCGTCGTGCAGGGTGAGCGCATCGTGGCATATGTGGTCATGAGCCGTGGACATTTTTACCCCTCATTTTATGTCCCCTATTCATGAACCTCTATTTATGTATGTATATGAGATATGTATGATAACTCGTTACGCTTCCGCTAGACTGTATTTGCGAGACTTCGGACTGTACGCATGTATGTATGTTTTCACCGTCGCCATAGTGGCTGATGGGATTGTATGTTTTTATTAACCTCCGAGTATGTAAGATAAGTAAGTTTTAGTAGCATCCCGCAAGTAAGTAAGTAAGTAAGTATTTTCGAAAATAAACTCGCACACAATTTTCGAAAATAAAAAGCGAAAAATTAACTCTGATTTTCAAAAGTCAAAGTAAGTCAAGGCGAGGTGTTACAGTGGCTCTATTTTTTATGTATGATGATGTGGGACAACTCACAAGTGATATTCTAACACGCCCCCTCACTTGTGAGTCCTTCGGAAGCCCAAGTCCAACTGGCTGGGTGACGGCTACGTCATCGCACGGTCACAAATAGAACCGACTCTGATATCATGCAGAAACTGGGAGAAAACGGGTGCGGGCCCACTATCATGAAGCCCACCATGAACGGGGGGAAAAGCCCATATGAATCCCAAATGGGGTTCCATCCCAAAACCAATTAGTGGAAGGAGGAGTAGCCCATTAAACTTATAAGGTGTGTCTATTTTTTATGTATGAATGATGTGGGACAACTCACAAGTGATATTCTAACACAAATGATTACAATTCTGAAAAAATCTCTCAAACACCCGTAAAGATTTCTTCCATCGGGAAAACTAACAACTAGTCTCCCTTCATAGCCACTTTGGCTAAACACCTACTACCAATACAAGCATTAACCCGGAAAATACCAGTTTTACCGGCAAGTACCGGCCAAAATACTGGTCAAAATACCGGTTTATACCATTTTTTTAAAAAAATATTTTTTAATATATTTTCATTAATTTATTTATATAAATTGAAAGTTATACACTTAATTTTAATATGTTTACATTGTTATTAGATGTTAATTAATTTTACTATTAGTTAAAGTTAATTTTATACATCATTTATATTATAATAATAAATTAATTTAATATTTATTGAAACCGGTAAAATAGACGGTAAAACCGGTCGAACCGGTTGAACCGCGTACCATTGGCTCGTCCGGTATGATTACCGGTACTGTATTTAAAACACTGACTGCATGTATATGCCTGTTTAATATCTTACGGGTTAAGAGAACGAAGTAATTGACCGAGGCCTAGTTCGTTTATGACGATCAGTATAAAACGAACTTCTCCTCTCTGGGACCTTATTCAATACCTAAATGTACTAGTGCAACTAATCAGTCAAGATCAACTGTACCGTTGACACTACAACCGTTTGTATGGGATGTTTATTTCCATCTAGGTTGTGAACCACAATTCTTGTTACGCAAGTAACTGATAGAATGATCTTCTGTTCGTCCGATGACGACCCATTCTATTTAAGTGCAAAACAATTAAACATATAATTTGTTTAATCTAACATGATTCTCATTCATAAAGGGTAAAAATGTAATATCATCCAAAGCCAAGCTTTCAGTATAAAACACTAACACTACGGGGCCGGACAAACGATTTTGAGACGATCTTCTCACATCGTCGCCCTCCTCGCCTTTGGTCGTGCGTTAACAATCGTCGAGTCACATCTTGCATCGCCTTGGGCGTCGCGCCACTGTTGTTGATCAGTTTGGGTCGTCTAGGGGCTTCTTGATGTGATCTGAGCTCGACGTGGCACGCCTGGTGCACGCTAATGCGGGCTCGTTCGCCCTGGTGCACACCTGGGCTTATGCGCGTCCTAGCAGATCGATGGGCATGTGCGTCGTGCTGTTTGGGACACTGTTCACCGAGAGTCACGCGATCTGGGACACTGGTCGTCGAGCGTCGCGTGGCCTGCTGGTGGCTGCGGGTGGTGGTCAGTACCTCCTCCTCTTCACGGTGTGTGTCCACTGGCGCCGATGGTCCTGCCGCGTGCGGTGGTCGTCGATGGTTGGGCACACTGGTGGTCTTCTGATCTACAACGGGGACATATATATATTTGCCGGAACACAAACGTACGACCTTAGGATGTTCTGTCATAAGATCGATCACCTGCTCTGATTCTTCGTGGTGGCCTTATCGGATCTCCCAAAGCCTTACATTTTTTATCTCATTTGATCTCCCATTTTTATTTAAATTTTTTAAGAAGGGATTTCTGATCTTTCACGTGCTTATGTATGCATCTCATTATACTTGGTGACTAAGTGACTTAGTGTATTTATAGGCTACAACAAGGACCCTAAAGTGTTTTAAATATGAGCTCCCCAAGTATGGGCTTGTGAATCAAGCCCACTCTTCTCATATTTGAATAATATCAAGTACCACTATAGAAATATTATTGAACTCCTCATTTAGCCCTAGAATTGCAAATCGTCTCCCGGCTAATTGCTTGATTTATCTCCTCATGTTTAAGATCTAATGTCCGTTGATTAATTAAATTACTGACAATATAAATAATCCACTTGTTTATTTGAAATTAGTACCACTCAATCTTTTATCATTATGTCGAAATTAGTCCGTCGGGGGATAGCCATAGTAATTCTTATTGAGCTCATTTGACGCCATCAACTCGACGGATCGGAACACAGTGCCGTAAACAATTTCAACGGCACATTATGTCCTCGACATTATTTACCAAAATGCAGAGTCTGACGACCTATCAGAAGAAGTCTCACCTACGGTAAATCAAATAAATAAGTAATGAAATACATATGCCCGTTTATTGTCTTATAAGTTAAGAAAACGTAACAATTACTGAGGTCTAGATTATTTACTTGGTTAGTATAAAATAATCTTATCCTCCGTAGGTTCGTCCAATACATCTAAAATGTACTTGTGTAATTTATTAGTCAAGGACCAACTAATTCAAAATCGCACTACAACCTTTCACGACAGTTATTTCAATTCATTCAGGGTTGTGAACAAATATTTATATTTTACAAAGAACCGATAATATGATCTTTTTGTTTGACATAAAAAAACTATGTTCGCATAAATAAATAAATTGCGAACATACATTTGGCTAAAATCACGAACCTTATTCAAAATGGATTTATGAGTAAGACAAACCGAGCTTCTACAATATGCTTCAATATGGATAACTTTAGATAAATAGTTATAATTTTAATTATATATTGATCTTTTTGTAATTGATTCAATTAATTTTGTAAAAATTATTATATTATAAGAATTCATATTCAAAGAAGGTTGATAGATATTTATACTCTAAAATTATAAAGATTATTTTTAATTAGTTTATTTAAAAAATCAAATCAACCAATAAATAAATTAATAAATATTCTTTTGAAAAATATAAAAAATAATAAACGAAAAAAGGAAAAATTTAAAAGTTATAACTATGAATTTGATTAGTAAATAATTTGTTTTATAGTAATTACTTAAAATCTTAATTAAATAGAAATTATTTAAACTTTATATTTAATAATTTATTTCATAGTGATTACTTAAATAATAGATGTACAGTAAATTATGTCAATCAAATTATTGATGGTGATTGGTAAACAATCTAAATTGAATCATGAGTTAAAAAGTGGAAGTAAATTATTATTTATAATAAAATTGATTGAATAAGATACTATAGATTCTAGTTAAATAGTTCTTAAAATTTAATGATCAAAGTTAATGAAATATAAATGTAGACGATGATGGAAGTGATATGTAGTTAATAATATGTGAATGAAATATAAATTAAATTGATGTCATGTATGAAAGATATTAACATTGTCAGAAATTCTATGGCGCCCATATGGGCACCATATGGTACCATAATCTTCACGATCTAACGTCTAATATTCATTGTGAAATTGATAGAATGGATATTACGCGTTGGATCATGAGATTATGTCACCATATNAACTGATGCAACCAAAATCAAAATTAGCTTCAACTCTTTACCAGTCACGCCCTCACCAACCCATGTACGTGAAAATACCATTACATTGTATAATTTTTCCTCCAACAGTACAAACAGTCATAGAAAATCCAACAAAATGACAGAATGAACACTCGGAAATTAAAATAAGCAAACATATTTTTAATTAAAAGTTAAAATCAGCAAAAGTGGAAAATAACCAAGTCTTTAAACAGAGCATCACCATCGCCGTCTTATTCCATGAGCGCCTCCTCCTTGTGCGTCTCGATGGTGACGTCCGACGTCGGGTAGGCCACGCACGTGAGCACCCACCCCGCTTCCATCTGGTCGTCGTCTAGGTAGCTGCCGTCCGACTGGTCAACGGTGCCGCTGACCACCTTGCCGGCGCAGGAGGAGCACGATCCGGCGCGGCACGAGTACGGCAGATCGTGGCCCTCTTCCTCTGCCATATCCAGGATGTACTGGTCGTCGGGGCACTTGAAGCTCACCTCTCCTGCCGGCGTCAACAGCTTGACTTTGTAAGTCGCCATACAGGTGAGCCGGGACGGCGCGGATCTGGGGCCAAACAGCGCCGCCTGCTTGGCGTTGGGGAGCGACCAGAGGCTCGTGGCGGGTGCCACCGCCGCCGAGGGCTTGTGGGGGAGGACGGCGGCGCTGAACATTGTGCTGGAGATGCTCGCCATTAATTTTCGATTAGAGTTGGGGGATTCTGCGATTTTGGGGGTGCGGAAAAGGAGAGAGGATTGGAAAACTTGTGGAAATAGTGGTAGGGATGGGGTTTTAATTTTATCCTCCACGTGGCGGGATATTGAAGCTCGTTTTATCGTTTTGTTTTTGGATCTCTCATTTTTCCTCGGTTATTATTGGAACAACTAGCCACTAGGTGTAACTGGGTTAGATTTATTTATTTTATTTTTATATTTTAGAAATTTTTTGTTTCATTCATAAATCATAATATAATAACAGGTTGGCACCTGGGTCGACTCCTTGACCCAACAAGTCAGACTAGATATGTCAAAACGGGTCGGCAGGACAGGCCGACCTGCAGCCCGCCATTCTGGCGGGCCTCTAAATAGCCAGCCCGGCCCAACCCTGCCACGGGCCGCGGGCTAGGCAGGCTGGCTCACTGAATTCGACAAGAAAAAAAAAAAGAGAGAAAAAGGGCTGGGCTGCTGTCATTTGAGCTGGGCTTAGTTCAAGAAATTCTATAAGATTGATTTGAATTATTCAAAGCCTGTGCCAAAACCATCCCAAGTCACCAGTCACCACGCATATAATCATAAGGGTAAATTATAAACTCCATCCCCAAATCACCACATTTCAATTCAGGAAATCAGAGTCAAAGTTCAGAAATTAGAGTTCAAAATCAATTCCAAGGGAGTGATTGTTTATGGATTCAACTAGTTTTTATTTGATTTATTTTTTTAACTATAGTTAATTTTGAAAAAAAGTGGTAAGGTTAGTTGTTAATAAGGGTGAGCAAAACCGAGCCGCACCGATGTATTCGGTGCGGTGCGGTTCGGTTCGGTTTTTGAAGTGTTCGGTTAACGGTGCGGTTTGGATTTTGTAAAACCGCAAATAATTTGGTACGATTCAGTTTTATGTCCGAAAGGTGCGGTTTTAACCGAACCACACCGAATATAATAAATAGTCACTTTATTTTTACTGTTTACATACACATACACAGGCAATGATAAATAACACGCTTTTTTTTGTACAAACAATGAACAAATAACAACATTACATAAACATTTATATTTAAAACAAAAGAAAAAAATTCCATTTTTATTGTCTCAGCCGCACGCAGCCCGCTCTCACCTCTCAACTCACCGTCTGGCTCACTCAACCCACCGACGCTCTCAATCCCTCTCTCACCCTCTGGCGCTCTCAACCCCTCTCTCACCCTCCGGCGCTCTCAACCTCGTTCTCATGGTCTCACCCTCCGGCGCTCTCAACTCCTCTCTTAGCCTCCGGCGCTCTCAACTCTTCTCTCACTCTCCGGCGTTCTCAACCCCGCTCTCACTCGCCGGCGGTCGCTCGTAGTTCCACCGACTTCGTCAATTTACGTCAGCTTTCGTCCTTTTTCTTCAGTGTCTGAACCACAACCCTAATTTTTGCTTTTCATTACATTTTGGGGTATTTTTACATGTTGAGAGCTATTGGATGTTTTGTTTTGATTTAGGTCAGTCCATTTGTTTTGATGCTCGAACCCTGGAAGTATGTTTGTTAAGGGTATTGGATGCTTAATTTCTGAGAATCGATGAAAATCTTCAAACAGATCATTTTTATTTTTTGCCTCAATTTCAGCCCCAATTTGTTTTTGCCCTTTTTTATTTGCGGTTAACCGACAAACCGCTTCGGTTTGGTGCGGTTTTTCTTTCTCTTGCAGTGTTGTTCGGTTTTTGACCGAACCGCACCGATGCTTACCCCTAGTTGTTAATGGATATATTAAAATAATATTTAAATAAAATAATTAAAATTGATTTGATGTAAAGTGGGAGAAAAATGATTGGAAGTGATGATTAATTAAATTATGTGAGTGAATGAATAATAATTAAAGTTGATGTGATGTGTAAGAATGATTGGTTAATATTATTTAATTATATTGATAATGTTGAAAATAATAAAATTGAGTTAAAATTGAATTAAATTTGAGTTTTGATTGACTTTTTTTTTTTTTTTTAATTGNGCGGGCCCATGACTTGGTTATCAATTTTTTTTTTTTATTTATATTCTTAATTTTTTATTATTTTTTTAAAAAAATAGACATAGAGTATGAATTATTTATTTACGTAATTATATTTAAATTTATGAATTAATAAATATATATTACTGAAAATTAGAAAAGAAAATAACAAACACTTTGAACCATTTATTTATGCTAAATGCAAAATATATTTTGTTAACACACCATTAATTGAGATGCTATAGGCACATAATATTATACATAAGAGTGTACATAACACTCAGATTGTGTGAGACCTATCAAAAATAAAAAAAATCAAATGGACCCCATTCTATGTGAGTCTTAATTGTTATATACACCTCTATGTACATTTGTTATGTAGTTGTAGCATTTTCCTATATTATTAAGATGTTCATATATATGAGCAAGATATAAAACTTTTTATTAGAAGTTTGCTTTTGTGTTTCGAAATAGATAGTCATAAACATCACCAATAGCATTCAAAGATCATCAAACATGTTGCAAAACATAGTAATTTGTAATTTCCTGATAGAATAAATGCAACTAATTGTTGATTTCATAACAAAACTGATTAACACAATTGAAAGCAAAGTTTCATAACATATGGAGCAAGCTACGAAGATAAAGAATAGAACTTCTAATTTTTTTCGTAACATATGGAGCAAGCTAAGAAAATAAAGAATAGAACTTCTAATTTTTTCGACAAGACAAAAAATTTTATAACCATTCGACAATATGAAAGAAAAACAATAAATCATCTAACATTTTAATACAATGGCCCAACATTTCCAGCAATACAAAAAACATCATAAACTAAAACTAACATTAAAAACTTTTAACATAGTTTCAGTTAGTGTTGAGCATCAAAATAATATCCAATTTTCGAGTATTTGAGGTATAACAAAAGTAATAGTTTATGGCCCAAAGGCATGAAGCTAGCAATAGTTTTTGGTTCTAAGGGCATATGGAAGTTATATACAACAAAACAAGTTCCTGCCCTAAGATTTTGGCCAAGGCATAGCTAGATAATACACAACAAAACAGGTGGATTTACATTAATATTAGCATTTATTAAGCATTTTGTAACAAATGCTTAATAACACTAATATGATTACACCAAAAGCAAAACGATACTACATTCAAAAGCTTTCACAATGAAGATTGACATTACATGGCTCATTCAATTTTTTCTCTAGGCTTTTTGTGGGCTGCAGAGGTTTCTCTTTTGTCTGGTGCAACTGGGCATCTTTTGATTTTTGGTTTTTGTGGAGTGAATATACCAGCTCGCAGATCTGTTTCCATTTCATTATCAGTAAAAGTAAGTGCCCTTTTTGTTGCTTGTTTAATATTACCTGACGTTGCAACATCATCCACTTTGTGTGCAATTGATTCCAAGACCATACTTGTATTGGGGCTGAAGAATTGTTTTTCTGGCATGGAAATATCTGCAAAGCTGTAAGTATGAACAGCTTGAGCTGAAGAAGAGCTGCCTGACTCTGTGTTGGAAGTTGTCTTTATAAAAGCAATGCAATTTTCTTCATCGATGGGATTTGGCAAAGAGGTTGATGATTGGATTTCTTCCTCTGTGTACAATTTGATGATAGTGTACCTACTCAACTGACCACTACCACTTGATTCTCGGCTACTTCCTCCTTGGAAATCGATATTATAATGCCGCACAAAACAAATGACTTTCTTTCCTCCAATTGCAGCAGCTATTTCAGAATGTTTGTTGAAACCCTGTGAAGTCATGATAATATAAGACCACATGAAAGTACTATAAAAAGAATTTCATAATATTAATTTTTTCACTTGAAGTGCAACATGAAATTAGACAAAAATGAGTATATGGTTTAAGTGATGCGTGTGAAGTTCTTAATTCGGTTTATTTTAGGCATGAAGCTCCTGTTAAAGTTTATTTTTCAAGGAGAAAAAACATTTAAAGCGTATGGTGATCATAAACTAAAATACTTTCACACAATAAGTTTTCCAGCTACAAATTGCTGACAAATAATTCAGGTTAGTCATTTATCAAGAAAGATGAACTTTTAGACCAACATAATAATTCATTATGCTAGAACTCTGAAATAACAAATATCAATTCTATAGTTATTAATCTTTCATCGAAAGAGAAAAATCGTGGAAAGAACCGAATTATTATGTTCAAATGATTGTAATAGAACAGTAGTATTGAAGATTGAAAAAGACTGTTTTTTTAATTTTTTTTAGATTGAAAACTATTTCACTAATTATAACTTCATTGTAATAAAACTTACCTATATTATTCCTTAGAGATATGAAAAGGATGCCCAAAAACAACATATGACTGTATAAACACATTTAAATTTGGGAATGAACAAAAATGTAAACATATAGTAACCATATGTGTGCTGTGAAGTCATTTAATATGCCAATAAATTTATAGAACCATAACTCCAATATATGTGAAACAACATTATATGCATCAAAGACTCGATCAAATGATATCATGACATGCTCAAAACCAAAGAACATATTCTTACCATTCCTTCCAATGAGATATGCATTCATGTTTGCTGTTTGGCTAGAAATGATCACTCCGAGCTTACACCTTTATATATTCAATAAAATTTCTCAAGCATCCATCAAATATAACTATTAAAATACTCGGCCATTAAAAATATTTACCTCGCCTTTTTAACCCATATCCAATCCTGCACATGCATTTTATATGTCTCATGCTATTGAGCACTGCCAAATGGATAAAACGAAAATAAAATTCCTGACCTAGAATTGGTGGTCCCAATTGTACGGTGTTCTTGACCTTGTCGGTGGTAGAATCAACCAACGGGCCCGACACCGGCGCCTAAACCCAACAGCGAATGTCTTCAACTCGAACTCATCACGGCTAATGAATCCCTTGGCTAGAATTGGTCGTGGGTCGGCATGTGGAAGCCCAAGCGGGCCTGTGCTTAACCACGATCTCCGATTATTTTCCGGCCGACTTCCACCCTTAAGCAAGAGAATTGGTTCGATTTCTCAGCCAATTTATTCAATTCGCACCTCTTGAAGGAGAAGCAAACGTCCATCCTGCTCTTGAAGTTGAAGAGGAGGATATGTATACCCTTCTCGGGTTTGGGGGCTGCTGTGACCCACTAACAGCAGCCCCAGCTGTTAAATAACAGCCTTTGGATCAGATAAAATTAAAACTAGATCCAATGGTTATAAATAAATGATAAATTAAATTATTCTTATCAGTTCACACCAGCCCCTATCCCGTTTTTCATCCCTATCAGTTCAAACCTAATTAACAGCCTTCTGAAGTTTTCACAACAGCCCACTCTATATGAACTTGTGAAAAAAATTTCGTCCTCGTTTTTCCTTATCACCGGCAACATCCGTACATTCCGGTGAGCCGCAGCCATCCCCGAAGCTCTGTCCGGCGATAACTCCGGCGACGAAGGAGGAGACCGACGACCCCTAACGCGGCCGGCGACCTCTGTTCCGTTTCGACATCACATTTTTTGTCAATCGACGACGCACACTTCGGCCGGCGACGAGGAGAAGAAGGCGAGCGGCGACTGTGACTAACTGACAGAGAGCGGCGGCAACAGGACGTTCGACGGCTGAACTCCGTCCAACAAGCAGCGGCGACGGCGAGCTGAACTCCGTCCGATTTGTTCCGGTGACCGGTAATCTCCTTAACCTCCGAAGTGAGTGATTGGGATACCGATTGTTTATAAATTGTTTCCCTTTGCAAATTTTTCTTGGAGGATTTGCTCTGTGTGAGGAGAAAGCATGGAGGAGCAACATGATGTTCCAAATATCACATCAACGGAAGAAATTTGGTCCGAAAAAAATATCGAAATTGATTCTATGTGTTTGGACCCAATAGCACACAATGATTTTTTTCATGAAATTGGTAAGAAGATAGAGCCTAAAAAGAAAAACCCTACAGAGTAAGTTTTTCATTTTTTTTTTCTATGTTCTTGTTGTTCATTGTAAATGTGCTTGGAGGGTTGAATATTATTTTGTTTTGCTTAGGTGATGGGTGAAAGAAATGTAATTCTAATTTAATATTTTTGTGTTTAACTGATGGTATGTGTTTTTATTGTGTATTTTTTATTTTTTATTTTTTGCTAAAATTCTATGTGTATATGCTTATATGTAGGAGAAACATATGTTCTGCTGATTGTGAGCAAGATTTGGTTTTTGAAAATTTACGAATATTGACAAGGAAATTGTGGATGATGCGATGCACGATAACACTATAAGTAGCGGGCGGACATCAAACGATGAACCAAGAGTTGGAATGATTTTTAATACTCTTGATGAAGCATGGGATTGTTGGCAAAATTATGGGAAGCTAATGGGATTTGGGACTAGAATAAATTATTGCAATAAAAGCCAAAAGGATGGGGTATATAATAACGCAGTTTTCGTTTGTCGCAAGGAGGGTAAAAGAGCTGCAGATAAAAGGAGGGTGGGAGTCGTCCATCGATGGGAAGAAAGAACATCATGCAAGGCTAAGTTAAATGTAGTTTTGGAGAGGTCGATTGGAAAGTACAAGATTAAAGAGTTCGTTGCAGAACATAATTATGAACTTGAGCATCCAGAAACGAGTCATATGTTGAGATCCCATAGGCAAGTGAGCCAGGCCGCCGCCGCTGCTATTGATTTGGCACATGATGCCGGACTCACCCCAAAAGCAACACACCACTTGAGGATTAGAGAAGCAGGAGGTTGGGATAAAGTTGGATATATATTGGAAGATCAAAAGACTTACTTGCGCTTTAAAAGAGAAAAAAACATGGTGTATGGTGAGTTGGGAAGTATAATACGATACTTCGAACAAAGAAAACGTAAAGATCCTTCATTTTTTTATTCAATGCAATTTGATAGTGATGAATTAGTCACTAATATATTTTGGGCAGATTCGAGGATGATTGTTGATTATGGTGATTTTGGCGATGTAATTACATTTGACACCACTTATGGCACAAATAAAGAATTGTGGCCCTTTGGTGTGTTCACGGGATTTAATCACCACAGGCAAATGGTAATTTTCGGTGGTGCACTTTTGTATGATGAGACTGCTGATTCGTTTGCATGGCTTTTTGAAATGTTCTCGAATGCTCATGGAGGTAAAGAGCCGCAAACCATTTTTACAGATCAAGATGCGGCTATGGCGAATGCTTTGACAAAAGTATTGAAAAATACACGACACGGGCTTTGCACGTGGCACTTGAATCAAAATGGGATCAAACATTTAGGTTGGCGCATGAAAGACGACTCTTCATTCTTAACGGAGTTTAAGAGGCGTATGTTTGAATATTTAGAAGAGGATGATTTTGAAAGAGAATGGAAAAAATTACTTGATAATTATGATTTGCACGATAATGAATGGCTATCGCGTACGTATGTGTTGAAAGAGAAGTGGGCCAAGTGTTACATGAAGTATGCGTTTACCCTGGGAATAAGAAGCACTCAATTGAGTGAGTGTTTAAATAGTGATTTGAAATCCTATTTAAAATGTGATATGAATATTTCAGATTTTTTCAGACAATTTGATAGGGTCGTGGATGAAAAAAGAGAGCGGGAGCTTAAAGCCGACTTTGATGCGAGACAGAAAATACCTCCACTTGAATCGTATGATTCTTTGTTGTTGATGCAAGTGTCACAGTTGTATACTCCTGAAATTTTTACACTTTTCCAAATTGAACTTCGTGCCGCTTTAAGAGTGGTGATAAAAAGGAAAAATGAGGCTCAATGTCCGCATGAATATGTGGTTCGTCTTCATGGTTCAAGAGAAAATGAGATTGGGTCGTTTGTAGTTGTAGAAAGTTCGAAATTATGGGAATATTGTGTTGTCATATCTTAAAAGTATTTATTATTCAGGATGTGATGTGCATTCCACAAAAATACATAATGGGAAGGTGGACAAAAGGCGTGAAAAGTGCCCAATGCTTGAACAAAGAAAAAATTGATGGTGTAGAAGATGTTGGAGAATGGGTCCAAAGGCTTCAATCTCAACTCTTACGGATGACACTTCAAGCTTCCGCTCATGAAGTGACACGAAGTTGCATGGAGAAAATGGTGAATGATTGTAATAAGAAAATTTTTGCTTTTACAACAAAAAATGAGATAGCAAATGAAGAAGTTCCTTCGTCCAACATAGATGATAAAATTGAAAATATGAAAGGCTTGAAAAAAAAGGACGGGAGAAGGAGAACAAAGCGGCCAAAGAGTTGGATCGAAAAACATGTTGGGAAGTTCAAAAAATCAAAATCATCGAAAGAGGTAATCATTATATTTTATGTGTTTGAAAAATGCATTAATACATTTTAACATATATTTATTCTACTTTTTTTGTTTCATTGTTGTCATATAAGCCGTGTCGATCGGTGACTAATTCACAAGAATACTTAAATTCTCGAGTAGCGGAGCACCATTATCAACAAGAAAATGTGGATGGCGATATTGCTTTAACGCACTTGACGGTATCTCCAAATTAGAATGGTACGTATTTACCTTGATAATGTAGTAGTATATGTTGAATGGTTGAGTTTTTAAATTGTTAGTTTGCCTCATGTTTCTACTAGTTTTTCTCACATTTACTTCCAGTGTCTTTTGGTGGATGTTTTTCTTTTATTGTTTTTCAGTGTTGGGACTGTTTTTGGTTGAAATGCTGGGGCCTGATTGTAATTTGAAGCCAACCTGTAATTTGAAGCCTTATTGAAGTGCTGGGGCCTGATTGTCAAGATTTGAAACATCTCTGTTGTTTTGAAAATGTGATATTTGATGTTCCTTGTGATGTTCTGAAGTTCACAGATTTTGGAGAATTAAGACACTGTGAATATTTTTGGAACTTGAAACTTTGAAATCGTTTCCTGTTATGAAATTTGAAGTTTAGAAGTTGGATATAGAACACTTTTCAATCTCTGTTACGTAGTTGAATATTGAGAAGTGTTGATCTTGTGGGGGGGTTTTTGTATGAAGTGTTTTGTGAGTGTGGTTTCTAAATTTCATATGGTTTCAGATATCCAAATTCCAGAATTCCATACTCAAATTAGAACATTATTCACAAAATTATTGGACTAAACTACAAAATCAAAAAATTTAATACAAAAAAAAAACTCAGAGAATCTCTGAAAATTAAACATCACTGAAAGGAACTTAAAATCACTAAAAGGAACATTATTCAAATTAGAACATCACTCAAATTAGAACATTATTCACAAAAAAAAAAAATAAAATAAAATTAGAACAATATTGAAACAATCTCTCAAAATTAAACATCACTCAAATTAGAACATTATTCACAAAAAAGAATCACTGAAAGGTACTTAAAATCGAAACAATCTCTGAAAGGAACTAAGAGAATCACTCACAAAAAAAAAAAATTGAAACAATCTCTGAAATCGTAACTTAAACGGCCGAACTCGAATCCTTCGGGAAATTCGCCCCTCACCGGAAGGCTGATGACTCAAGCGCCGGACACCGCTTCTCCGTCGTCGGGAGGCTGATGACTCAAATCACCGGTTCTGGGAACCGGGTCACCGGGACAGAGGCAGGTCTGGCGGGTTCGTCGCCTGAAGATGGTCGGAGGTGCTTGTCCCTTCGCTGCCGCCGTCGTAAATTGGCGGTTGTCGTGCGTATCTCGGCGGTTTGGTCCACGGAACGGAGGTCGCCGGCCGGGTTAGGGGTCGTCGGTCTCCTCCTTCGTTGCCGGACCTCTCTGCAGACAGGGCTTTGGGGATGGCTGTGGCTCTCCGGAAACGTACGGATGTCGCAGAAGATAAGGAAAAACGGGATGAAGAAAAAATTTTCATTTATTTATGGCCAGTGATTGGAAACTTCAGGAAGAAAAACGGGATGAAAAAATAATAGTGATTGGAAAGGGATAGGGGCTGGTGTGAACTGATAAGAATAATTTAATTTATCATTTATTTATAACCATTGGATCTAGTTTTAGTTTTATCTGATCCAAAGGCTGTTATTTAACAGCCGGGGCTGCTGTTAGTGGGTCACATTCCAAACCCGTATTTCTCAAGTTTGGCGAGACGAAAAGCGGAGAAAGTTTTAATCGTAATTCTAGTCATAGTCATTCTAAGGGCAAAATAGGTAGTTTGATATATAAAACAACACGTGTCAGCATTAGA